CACCCCACCCTTAAGCCAAATAACTATACTTACCCCTCTCTCTTTAAGGCTTGTGGGTCCTATCAATGGCTAAAACACGGTCGAGCACTACACACCCATGTACTGAAATTTCTTGACACCCCATATGATAACTTTGTTCAAGCTTCATTGCTTAATTTTTATTCTAGATGTGGCAAAGTAGGTATTTCCAGGTACTTTTTTGATCAGATTATTGAACCAGATTTGGCCTCATGGAACTCTATACTATCATCTTACATGCGTAATACTACAGTTCCTTTTTCTGCTAATGCAAGTAACTTTGGTGGAAGTACTAGTTTGTCAATGGAAGTCTTGAATTTATTTAGCCGGATGCAACAATCCTTAGTTAAGCCTAGTGAAGTTACTCTTGTCGCATTAATTAGTGCTTGTGCTGAACTTGGTGCACTCAATCAAGGAATATGGGCTCATGCTTATGTAATTAGAAATCATCTTAACCTTAATCGTTTCATTGGAACAGCGTTAATTACCTTGTATGCAAACTGTGGGTATCTTAATTTTGCTAGTCTACTGTTTGACCAGTTGCTTCAGAAGGACATATTTTGTTACAATGCTATGATTAGAGGGCTTGCAATACATGGTCATGGGCACGAGGCACTTGACCTATTCAAGAAAATGAGAAAAGAGGGTTTGGGCCCGGATGATGTAACAATATTAATCATAATTTATGCTTGCTCACATGTGGGATTGGTGGATGAAGGGTGCAAACTCTTTGAGGCAATTAAGAGTGACTATGGACTTGAACCTAAACTTGAGCACTATTGTTGCCTGGTGGATCTTTTGGGTCGTGCAGGGCAGCTTAAGGAAGCTGAAAAGTTGGTTGGGACCATGCCTCTGAAACCTAATGCAATTTTTTGGAGGTCTTTACTTGGGGCAGCAAGAGTTCATGGGAATTTAGAGATAGGTGAACTTGCACTACAACACTTGGTACAATTAGAGCCAGAAACTAGTGGGAATTATGTGCTTTTGTCAAATATGTATGCTCACATGAATAGATGGGATGATGTGAAGAGGTTAAGAAAATTGATGAAAGATCATTGCATCGATAAAATGCCCGGTAGTAGCATGGTTGAGATTGATGGTGCAATGCACGAGTTCCTTACTGGTGACAAAACACATCCACGTGCAAAAGAAATATATTTGAAGGTGGAAGAGATGAACAGAAGGTTACAAGAATGCGGTCATCAGCCAAGAACCAGAGAAGCG